AAGTTGGCAAAACTTTTTGTGGACGAGATTGTCAGATTGCATGGAGCACCTGTGTCCATTGTATCGGACAGGGATCCTAGGTTCACTTCTCGATTTTGGAGGTGTTTACAAGAAGCTATGGGTACTAGATTGCAGTTCAGTACTGCTTTTCACCCACAAACTGTGGACAATCGGAAAGGACTATCCAGACTCTGAATGACGTGTTGAGATCCTGTGTGTTACAGTTTAAGGATGCATGGGATGTTCACCTTGCCTTGGTGGAGTTTGCTTATAATAACAGTTATCATTCGAGTATTGGGATGGCTCCTTATGAGGCGTTGTATGGGAGGCAGTGCAGGACTCCTATTTGTTGGAATGAAGTGGGTGACAAGAAACTGGAAAAAGTGGATAGTATCCGAGTAACAAATGAGAAGGTGAAGATAATAAAAGAGAAGTTGAAAACTGCACAAGACCGACAGAAGAGTTATGCAGATAACAGGTCTCTTGAGTTTGCAGTTGAGGATTGGGTGTTCCTGAAATTATCTCCTTAGAAGGGTGTGATGAGATTTGGGAAACGGGGGAAGTTAAGCCCTCGTTACATTGGACCCTATGAGATCACAGAGCGAATTGGACCTGTTGCTTATAGACTTGCGCTACCCCCAGAGCTATCTCGAGTTCATGATGTATTCTATGTATCCATGCTCCGGAAATACATGCCAGACCCTTCTCATGTATTAGAATTTCAACCTGCGGAGTTAGAAGAAGATTTGTCGTATGAGGAACAACCAGTACAGATCTTGGATAGGAAAGAGCAAAGGTTGCGTTCTAGATCCATCCCGGTAGTGAAAGTTTTGCGGAGAAGTCAAACTGTTGAAGAAGTTACTTGGGAACCCGAGGAGCAGATGTGGGCTAAGTACCCTTATCTCTTCCATTGACAGGTACATGAATTTCGGGGACGAAATTTTTATAAGGGGGGTAGATTGTAACACCCCGACTCCGATTATTTTCCTATTTTAGTTAAATTAAGAGAAATTATTAATTTACTCTTGGGTTAAGGGTAATTTTGGTCATTTTC